CTTCATATCGGATCTTCGTCCTCAATAATGATGCCCCTCAAGCGCTCTGTAATCTGACTCCGTTAATGCCTCGGTGGTAGTGAGGTCGGTGTGTCGCTCTTTGATAACTAGCGATGAAATGATTGTAGATAAGACTCCACTGCTAGATTACTCCTTGAATCAGTGGATCATCATCTCAGTACCGAATGATGCACGATCTTCGAGCTCACTGCTTCGTCTCGAATCTTTGAACTTGGAACCGATGCCCCTCAATGCTCTGTAAACTAACTCCATCAATACCTCGTCTATGCTGAAGTTTGTGCTTCACTCCCTGATGGTTAACGATGGAATAATTGTGGATGAGAATCTACTGCTGGATTACTCCGTAGATCAGTGGATTATCATATCAGTCTCGAATGATGCACGATCTTCGAGAAAATCTCATTCTTGTACTCTGGGCTTCTTTTTAGCCCTCGATGCATGTCTGTATTTGCGATCGCTTGATTGAAAACTTTTATCTCTTCTTGTGAAAATTTTCTCTCGAATATCCCCTTATGGATCAACACTTTTACATTATGATGATGCAATGCAATGCAATGCAAATGACAAAATGACACAAACAAAAGAGGAGAAATAAGTTAGTATACACAAACAAAAGAGAAAAATAAGTTAGTACATGTAAAATAATTGATACAGATAAAAATGTTATTCAAAGATGAATATAACACCTACCCGACATGATATCTACCCAAACATGCTTTCAATTAAATAACAATCCTACCCGGACATGCTATCTACCCAAACATGCTTTCAATTAAATAACAATCCTACCCGGACATGCTATCTACCCAAAATGATCTATTTTCATTCAAGAAATTGATCCTAACCGCATGGTGTCTAGTTCGCATGCTTTATTCGGAAAAAAAATTCTACAAATTTAAAAGGTTAAGGTTTAGAGTCGTTCCTCCTTCGTGTACACCTATTTTGGGTACCTACTGACGGACAAAGGTTCGGTATGATTATACCTAGGGTGATCGTTCGACGGTTCACTATATGCTTGGTTTCGGCTCTAACGGGGAAAAGGGTACTCGAATTGTCCTTGATGTCGGTGCCCCCTTGGGCTACCAGACCCTCGATCCTCACCCATTACAGGTTTCAAACGGAACGAGTTCAATTCGAGGGGATTCACTGTCTTATACCCGTACGAGGAATAAATCCCTACGAAGGTATAAGGTATGTATCCCATGGGTTATTTGCTAAAACTCATACGAAGAATAAATTCTTACGAGAGTAAAGCATTCACCCCAACTAATTTGGATCGAAGCTCGTGTCTAGAGCTTATGTTATGCCAATAAGAGTGATGTGTGTGAGGAGGAACATACATACCTTTGACTCAAAAAACGAAAAAGATAAAACTCGATAAAAACTTAGATCGATCTGAAAGCAAAAATTCAAATGTTAGTATAACAATTAAAAAATGAAGCAATTAAAAACTTCAACAAAAGGATCATAGACTAACTAAAGACTCGAACTCATAAATTCGACCACAACGACAATGTGTAAGCGACTTACAGCTCGACTCTCTAAAAAACGTCCCCAGCAGAGTCGCCAAGCTGTCATAACCATTTTTTTGTAAAACAATTAAATATTATTTTTAAAACGATTATGACTTTTATTTTGAAAAATTGAGTATTTTGGATTAACTTGGATTAAATTGAATAGAGTCGCCATCGACCTTCGAGTTAGGTAGGTCGAATACCTAAAACCGTCTTTCAAAACAATTTTAAGGAAAATCATTTTTAAAGACAAAAGGGGTCTACGTTTACCAGAAAATCGATTTGATGGGTCCGGGAGTCGGTTACGTGTGGGGAAGGATTAGCACCCCCACATCGCCCAAAATTGGTACTGTATCGCTTACATATCGTCGTGATGATGGAAATTATAAATCGAATATAAAGTTAAATTACGATCCATTTATTGAAATTTAATTAATTTGCTTCGAGTTAAATAAAGAAAATCCTTTAACTCAATCAGAAATCTTGAAATTTGCAATCCTCCGTCGGGAAAGCTATTTCAACCATTTCGCATTCGTAAAAGAATATTCTACCATTGATTATGTTAAAAATACAAATCGAATATAACTAAAAACAATGTTTACATACGAATAAATTGATTAACTAAAAACGTGAATTGAATACAAATTAAAAATTTTGAAATTTACATTCACATAAAATAAAGTAAATTGTCACTTAAAATAACACACATTGCATCGTTTGAACAAATTAATTAGCAAAATATACTCAACTTATTTTAAGTTACTATGTCGTTAAAATGCCGTATCGGATCGCACCACTTCGACCAAGTGATACTTTCCACGCTCATTCTACGCATACGTGTTCTTAAAAGTATTTGGACAATATTTAAATACAGAAAAATGGAAATAAATAGAAATATAAATATGTGAAATAAATATTTACAACAAATAAAATTAAACATATTTAATTACATATGGTACAAATAAATACATAACATGAAAAATGTACATACATAGGGGATTAAAATAAAAAAAAAATTAATATTACAAACCAAACTATAATGACAAAAAAAAAGTACTTTGAATTACAAAAAACCCAAAATAACAACATATAAACTCAAAGGACCAAAAATAGTACAAACATGAATTTCAAAGGACTATAATGAAATAAATAGAAATATGAAGGGATTAATCGGTAAATAAAAAACAGAGCCAAAATCAAAATATTAAACATTTACAAGCACTAGAAATGAAAATAAACCATAAACAACATCTAGGACTAAACTGCAATAACCAAAAACATGAAGGCCGAATCATAATTAAACCAAAAGTAAAATAATGACTAAAATAATAGATTTATAACTATCATAGCCAAATTTGAATATCAGAGAAAGTACACAACACCTAATATCAGTGACTAAAATATAATATTTATAAATGTCAGAGATAAATTCGAAACTCAACCAAAATACCTAACATATAAAATCAGGGGCTAAAATGAAACTATTACAAACCTTGGGACCAAAGTCAAATACCCACAAAAATGACATAACATACATTAGTAGGACTAAAATATAAACAAGGAAACATAGATGCCCAAAACAAAAGAAAATAAAATAGACATTAAAACAAATATATTAAAGAACAGAAAATGACTAAAATACAAGCAATTAGAACTTGAAGCCAAAAATTCAAAAATTCAAAGTTATATTCAGTGATTAAAATAAAATAATTACACAATACGAGATCAGATTCAAATATTCACGAAAGTAGTAATATAAAAGAGTAAGGACTAAAATGAATACTACACAAAATCATCAGTCAAAACTCTAAATACTTAAATATATAGGATTAAAGACATATGGGACTAAAATAAATGAAATAAAAACATGCAAGGGAAAATAACAATTAGCCCTAAATACAATAAATATTAAACAGTGATCAAAATGAAGCATGCGGAAAATAATATGACCAAATTCGAACATCACAGAAAATATTATAATTCATGAACTCAGTGGCTAAATCATAAATATCGAAAGATAAATGCCCAAAGTAAAATATCATAATTTTTATTAATGATCAAAATAACAGATTACATACGAGGAGGGACCTAAACTGTAGTTACCCCATAAGATGAAAACACGCTGAAGGTCCCTTGCTGAAACGGCGCCGTTTTGGTTGAATATTATAAGCCCAAAATCGGGCTTTCTCTGCTTCCCCTCTCTCATTTGGTTTTAATTAATAAAACAGAGGGAGAGAGAGAGTTTCAGAACTCTCTCAACTCCCACATAAAAGAAAAGAAGTAACGCCGTCGCCGGTGGCGCTCACGTCGGCGACGACGGCGGCGCACGGCGGCCGGAGATGCCCAACAACCCTCAAAAGAAACATCTCAACCCCTACTACTCAAAACCCCACTCCACTTTGCTTAAACACTACCCCCGTCTCCTAAATCTACCGATTTACCTCTCGAAACAACAAGACACGGTGACCTTTGAACTCCTTGCATGCCTTCGCCGAACCTCCCTCCTCGGTAAGCTTTTCTCTTCTCCCTTTTTCTCTCTGTTTTCTTTATATTTTCTTTTTGGTTCTGAAAAAAACTCCCCCTATCTCATTTTTCTTTTCTTTGAACCCCCTCCATCGTCCCCTTCTGTCATTGCATGTCTGTTTTTTATGGTCCTTCGCTGAGAATCATCATCTCTATTTGATAGGAATGATGTTCCTAGGCTCGGGTTAGTACCAAAAGCCGAATATTTAGGGATTTAGGACAGCCGAATATTTAGGAATTTAGGACTATTTTAATGGGTTTTCAGATTTGGTATATTTTTTTTGACTGATTTGGGCACTGTGGATGACGTTCAGTTACTGTTTGGAAGCTGGATGACAACGGCGGTGGCTTGGGATCGTCGGCGGCAGCTCACTCGGCTCGGGAGTGACTGGTGAAGACCACGCAAGGCTGGGGAAGCTAAATAGCCAGAGGCGGCTGGCTGGCTGGCTGATGAGTTAGGGTTAAAACCCTAATGTGTTTAGGGTTTTCCCCAAACGGGCCACATCGGGTTAGGTCACAGTCCAGTGGGTAGAGTCCAGGTCTAATGATTGGATTAGTATATTGGGCTTTGGTGTTGGGCTCCGGAATCTTTGTACTGGGCCTGGAAACAGAATGTAATATGTAAATAAAATAATAATAATAACGCTAATAATAATAATTAAAATAACGATAATAATAATATACAAAAAAGACCCAGACAAAAACGGGTGTCTACAGAGTGTACGGATTCAAAATACAATTATCCGCGGCAAATGAACTTAACGCAAATAGTATTATGCACGAAAACAAAACTGGCAGCTGGATGCAAGAAGAAAACAAAAACAAATGACACTCTTCAAGAAGAAAATCCTCAATAGTTTGTGATTTATCAAATTCGGTCACCATGGCAGGAAAGGAAACCCAAACCCACGGCAGTAATTGAATAAACCGTAGTTCTGCCGCTGTAGTACGCTTTTTCTAAGTGAAAAATGGCTTGCTAGTATTTTCAAACTGCTTCTCTCTCTTATCCAATTTTATTCGCTTAGCACTAGGTACGTCCGAGTTGTTACTGACCCTGTTCTGGGACGATGTAATATGTTGGAATGCACAATTGGCGCCATTTCTGCATCCCCTGGAACTGTTAAAGTAACTACAGGGCTTCATTACCCTCGGCTTTGGATCTCTTGATTTTGGATTATTTGTTGGTTGTTGGTTTGGTCTTGGCTGTAGATTGTATCGGTTATTCAGGTTCTGGAATGATCCTTGTCTTTCTTCTCCGTGTTGCTGAATCAAGTTCTTGTAATAGTTTACATCCTTCTTTTGAGGAAATTTCGGGGCAGGTGAAGGTGAAACTGGATGGACACTGGGAATAGAACCTTGTCTATTTGAGGGCCCAACACCAACCCCGTTGTACTCAGCATAATGTGCTACTCCTGAAGTAGTTTCCACAGATGCTATACCATTTTCTATTGTATTGGCGCTGGGAGATGGGTCGGATATATTTGCTGGTGGATGTGGATAGGAAGAAGGTACCAGAAAGGATGTTGATTTAGGTAAGTTTTGTGCACCTGAAGCCGCTCCATAATCTGTCACTAATTTCTCGATTAATTGCGGGTTGCTCAGAATTTTGACAAGCAAGTCGGGATAAAAAATGTTTCCACATTCATTGCTTTGGTTAATAGCTCTTAAGGCAGCAGTTGTAGCAGCTGCTACTCCGGGCTCGACACTAAGTACCATTCCAGTCGATGGACTCTCCTCAGCAGAAGCACTTGAAACACTTGGCTGTGAACTAATGGGAGCACCGAATGGTGCTAAAACATCAGATAGTGATTCGATTGCTGCATCTTCATCTTCATCTTCATCTTCAATAGGAGTGATGGGTATTTGAGGAGATAGATGATCATCATAGTGACAGTTTTCTACGTCTGCCAAAACGCAGGGGCTGTAGAATGAGAAGAAAAGTTAGGCTCATGGAGAAGTGAAACACAAGAGAAAATTATGAGAAAACCCAACCCCTCCAGTAACTAAATAAAAGAGTATCAGACCCTGTAGGAATTGCAGACGGCCGAGGATAAACAGCTTCAAGTACTCCCACTTCTCTCTGATTTTGAATCTCAACCTCTTTACTTTCCTCCCCAGCGACTACTTGCCAATTGAAGTCCAATGCAAACTGTGACAATGCAAATTCAACTTTATAGAAATGCAGGAAAATCAAATTAAAATGAAAATGACAAGAAAAGAAGTCTTCAGAACTGTTACTTACTCGATGAGGACATCTCCATCTAATGGCGGGGATTTCCAGCACGTTAACTTGAATATGATTTGTAGACTGAGCTCCTTCAAAGCCAGGAGGCAGAAAGTCATCCGCAGCTGCCCCATTTAAATGTGATACAGAGGAGGCTTTTTCTTGGAGGTGATCTTGGGCGCCCAATCCAACTTGTGAAGGTGGTTCCTCCGTAAGAAAGAGCTTTATCTGTAATGGAAGAAGCATTTATATTTTATGTTAAGGATCTTCGACAAAACACTTTCCACCAAATGAACTGATGAAAAGAATTGTATAAGCCAGAGATTTCCTCTTTCCCTTTAACTTTCACTTCGTATTTATTGGAAACGGAATGGAAGTATCAGCAAAATAAACTATGGCATTCAATTATTCTAGTATGTGAAAATTACTTCATTTCTGTGAGTTATACAAAATTCTTAATTTCTCACAGAGAATCACCTGAGAGATTAAATGTTGAACAAAAGGGAAAAAGAATTAGCTGAGACTAATTAAATCTTAAGGTGAAATTCAGATGCTAATCCTAGTAAGTTTCGCCTAATACTTATGCAATTGGAAGCATCACAAATCTAGTATTAGTTACTGAACTAGGGCTAAGCAAAAATACGAATTGAATCCTTGTTAGTTAGGTTATCTTCAATATTAATTTGGTTTTAATTTGTTATTTAAAAAAGCCGGAACATTACATAACTGCAAATATCCTCAAAACCAAACAGAATCACATAATCCCGGTGCTCAACTAGGTTTAGTCCCTGGAAAACATGCACCTACACCTATTGGTGATGAACTCAGCCTATAGATAGTAAAAATCTACATCTCTTCACTCTCAATACTTAACCCGTGAGCAAGCAAAATTGGACCACCTCCTTTCTTACTAGCTTGATCCCAGATACCTCAGGCAAAGGACACTTCAGAATATTACCTCAAAGCAGAGAAAAGATATTTCATGTTAGATAGAACTTCATACATCTAAGAATTAGAGATACTAAAACTGAAGATTCTTTCAAATTATTTAGGTGTCTGGATGCTTAAGACACTTTGGAAAAACAATTAACTATCCTATATGAAAAGGCATATGCATATAAATGAAAAAATAACAGACAACAAATTGTGAGCTTGCTTTCTGATAATAAGAAGCTAAAGCGATATGACATTCATAAACTTAACGTGCATCCCAATCAAATTCCATGGAGATCTTATTGTGGAGCAAATTTTGTATGTTTTACTGAGGTATGCACAATGAAGATGATATGAAATAGGAACGCATTGCTATGAAATGAAGCATCATAAATTGACAAGCCAGGATCCTTATCTTCATTAGCGATTCTGAAGCAGCTAAAAATAAAATTATTTTACCATTATCGTCCCCTCGTATTTGTGTCCAATTAGCATGACAAACTTTCTGCCTCTATCGACTGATTTGTTCTCACAAAGCAGTTCAAAAAAGTAGAGACACTAAATTAGCTATAAATAAAGAACAAAAAGGAACTCATCATTTCGTAGACTAAATGAAAAATATATTCAGAATCAACTCAAGAATACTAAAATCAACTGAATTAAAAGCTTCAAATGCAATTGGAAATGGTTTAGGAGGGGAAAAAGAAATGAAAAAAAATCTAAAAACAAAACAAGAAGGGTTCACATAGCTTCATTCCCATTTTTCTTTTTTTGCTCCATATGACTTAAATTTTCTACCTCTTTTTTCATTTCTCTATTTCAACTGAAACGGGGCTCAAAATTTAGGAACTCTGAAAGTAAAATTGCAACTTTTACCTGACAAAGATTAACATCCGGGGCCCAAGAAATCCTGTTCGATTTGCTCATTCCATGCATATTTACAGATCGCAAAATACAATATAGAATTAAATTGAAAGATACAAAATCCTTCAAAAGTCATCCTTTTCCGGCTTCGATTCGGGTAAAAATTTTATAGTCCAATTCCCGAAACAACTGATTTTAGGGTTCTATCGATTGAAACCCCAATTCAACCACGGATGTCGCAAAAAGCAAACTATGTATCGGCTTTTCAATCAACTTACCTGTTTCGAAAACCCTAATTATAAGATTAAAAAAGAACTAATTGTATAAGTTCTCGATACAGAGAGATCCAAGGCAACCCCAGATCCTTTGGTTTTTGTTTGCATTGCGTTGCGGTTTTCCTACCTTATTTTGCCCTATTTATTCTATTTTCTTCCCTTTTCGTTCTTCCTTCTAGGCTTCTGTTCTGTACTGGGGATCCAGTTGAGTAAGCGCTGGCACACGCTGTCTTTTGACGCGTGTAAGGGGAGGGGACGTTCAGGTTTCAGGGGTTGTGACGTTGTACTACACGCGCTCCGAATGCAAGCACGGTTAAAAACAGTTGAACGCTGAAAGGACAATTGCTGAAAAAAGTCTAATTTGGCACAATCAACCCTTATTGTCATCAACTTATTGTCATCAACTTGTTGTATCCGAGTGCAAACAGGCGTTGCTTGACTCATATTGACTTTCTTCAATAGCTCGCAAATGTAAGCTCCCTAACTTAGCATCAAAACAGTGTCAATTCTCTTAACTTCTATTCCCAGAAAGTAAGACAACTCACCTAAATCTTTGAGAGAAAATCGAATGCTGAGCATACGAACGACTTGATCAACAGCTTCAGCAGATATCCTTGTAATTAATATCCTTGTAATTATAATATCATCGACATATACTAACGCATACGTACTGCAATCATCTTGAAGCTTAATAAAAAGTGACACGTCTGCCTTGGACTCAACAAACCCAAGCTCCAACATACCAGCTTTCAGTTTGTCATTCCAATTACGCGGTGCTTGGCGAAGACCGTAGAGCGCCTTTTTCAACTTGCACACTAACGAGGTACCATCAGAAGCATATTGTTTAAATCCAGGTGGCTGCTGCATATATACGTCTTCATGCAAATCCCCATTTAAAAAAGCATTGTTGATATCAACCTGTCGTAAAACCCAGCCTTTAGCAACAGCCATGGTTAAAAGCACATAAACTGTCGAGAACTTTACAACCGGGCTATACGTATTTTGAAAGTCAAGACCAGGAACCTGCGTGAACCCTTTTGCGACTAGGCGAGCTTTGTACCGAAGCACAGATCCATCAAGATTTCGTTTGAGTTTAAAGAGCCACTTGCACCCCACCACATTTCTGTCAGCAGGTAAGGGAACAAGTTCCCACGTGCCATTCTCAAGTAAAGCTGAATATTCAGCATGTACTGCTTCAGACCACGCAGTAGATTGAAGGGCTTCTTTAACCGTGGTTGGTACAATATCATCAAAGAACGTAGTAAGCACTTTTGGCTTAAATACGCCACACTTGTTGCGAGTTAGCATAGGATGTCCATTACGAGCTGCAGGTTCTGTTCTGTCACCAGGCAGCGACTGAACATCCTCAGCAACCTCTGGATCTCCTTGACCAAGATCTGGGACTTCAGACATAGCTGCTGACTCAGAATCTGATGCGGAGTGTGTAGTGCACTGGTTAGAATTATCTATAGGTAACTGAACAACACCTGAAACTTGAGCACGACCAGGGGTCAGCTTATTAGCATCCATTACTATTTCAAGAGGTCGACTCAAGGGCAACACAACTGATAACTGCTTGTCCGTGGTACTATTGGCAAATGGGAAATTCCACTCATCGAACTTCACATGACGAGAGACAATGACACACTTATCATGCGTTAAACAAAGGAAGCCCTTGTGTTGAGGGCTAATACCCAAGAACGAACATGGTTGAGATCTAAAGTCAAGCTTATGAGCATTGAACGGTCTTAGATGAGGGAAGCATCGACAACCAAAGACCCTGAGCGATTCATAATCCGACTTCTTTTTAAATAAACACTCAAAAGGAGAACACCCAACAAGTACCCTGGAGGGGAGTCTGTTGATCAAATGGACAGCCATGACCACTGCATATGACCAAAAACTAGTTGGCATGGAAGCTTGTGCGAGTAAAACCAACGCCAACTCAATCACATGTCTATGTTTATGTTCCACTACATGTTTTGTTCTGACGTGTGTGGACACGTAACACGATGAGAAACACCTGCTTCAGCAAGCATTCGAGACAGCCTGCGATACTCGCCACCCCAGTCACTCTGAAAGGCTAAAATCGACAGTCCAAACAGTGTTTTGACAAGCTGTTGGAAGAATTTGAATGCATAAGTACCTTGGGATTTGTCCTTAAAGAGATATAACCAGGTGTGTCTCGTGCAGGCATCCACAAAACTCACATAATATCTATAACCATTAGAAGCAACAGGTGATGGTCCCCATAAATCCGTAAACACAAGTTGAAAGGGCAGATCATACACAGTGGAAGAATCATAAAATGGAAGCTTATGGCTCTTTCCCATATGACAAGCAATGCAAGTTTCATTAACATTGTGCTCAATAGTTACATCAAGTAGTTTGCATATTTGCCCAAGGGTTCCATGTACAGGATGCCTAAGGCGCCTATGCCACAACTCATACAAACTATGTGAAACAACAACACTATTAGTTTCAACGAAAGCATTTGTATTATTCATGGAATCAACTTGAAACAAATATAAACCATCATTCTCCTGTCCTTGTAGCAGTACTTCACCAGTGCTTTCATCACGAACACAGCAATGGAAAGCATGAAACTCAAAGTATACCCCATTGTCCCTAGCAAGCTTCGAGACCGAGAGAAGATTTTTAGTTATCTTGGGAACATGAATCAAATCATTCAACATTAAAGCTCAAGAAGAAGAACGTAAGATAGTTTTACCAACAGCTCTAATAGGGAGTAAATCTCCACTGCCAACAACAATTTTACCTGGTCCAGAGAGATCCTTTGGATTAAGCACCTTGGCTGACTCAGAGGTCACATGGTGTGTAGCCCCGAAATCCACCACCCAGTGATCTCTCGTAGTAGCAACACGACTCTGAGGCTGCGAGGAATGGCATACTTCTGCCTCAGCACGAGCTTTGGAGCAGCACATCCAATCATTCTCACCAACAGAGACTGTTTCAAAATCGGAGTAGTTAGCAGATCCAGACTCACTTCGAGCCATAGTACGATCAGCCAACCGACCAGTGAAGGTTTGATCGAACCTATATCAGCAATCAACAACCAGATGGCCATTTTTGCCACACAACTGGCACTGCACTCGTGGTCTGCCACGACCACGTCCTCCACCTCAACCTGCATGACTAGATCCTGCTCGTCCAGAACCACGATCATTAAAAGATTGACCAGTAGTTTTCAATCCAGAAGCAGATTGAACTATATGAGCGCTCATCGGGAGTGAATCCTCTTGAGAGTCAAAACCAGCAAGTTGCGTCTCGGCATCGATCAACATCGAACAAATTTTGTCAAGGGATAATGCATCCTTCATAGTGGTAATGAAAGCAATATACGGTTTATATTCTCGGGGAAGACCCTTCAGTATGCTGACAACATGCTCAGCCTGAGGAATAGCACTATCGCACGAGTCTAACGCGTCACAGACTTCTTTGATACGCGTAAGATATGTGCGCATGATGTCAGTTTCTTTCCGGAGCGACTGAAGCTTGTAATGGAGACTGATAACCGCCGTGGTAGACCTGTTCGCGAAGAACTATAATACCGTGCTCCAGACCGTCGCCGTCGTCTCCGCTCCAACAAACTGGGACAGCAGGTGAGGGCTGATCGTGGACAACAGCCAAGAGGCTAGTGCACTGTCTTGAGCAACGTACTCTTCATATAGCTCATTCGGCACTAGATCTCCAGTTTCGGTCACTACCGTTGCAGAGGGAGGCAAGGCAGTTCCCATCAGCAACCGTTCAAGTCGATGGCTACGAACGGTCAGCAAAACTTGTTGTTTCCAGAGAAGAAAGTTTGATTCATCCAGTATGATATTAACCTTCTTATTTGTGAAGGTTTTTCCAGCCGAGAACTCCATGGATGCAAGAGCAGCGGAGCACACAGAAGCAATCTCAGGAACAGCCAGCGAATGATACCATGTTAAACATTGTTGTAGGCAATGCTTGAATTCATCAAGAAGAAATATCAGAAGAATTATATTTTGCTCGATTGCTTTACACTTCATCTAAGCTTGCTTACTTATAGTATATTAATAACAACTTTAACAGCTTTGAAACATTCTCTAACAAACTTGCCACGTATACTAACAACATTTACTACCTAGAATCTTCCAGCTGCCACTCACGCAATGCATGAACTGCATTATCATACACACAACATACTCAGCTTCTTCATGTATCTCAATAGCATGTCAACTTAGAGTCTCTATAAGGTATATGGCCAGTTCCTCCCATGCTGCATAGTGTCGTGCCAGTTAATCGGTCAGAATATGTCATGTTCAAATGAATTAAAGACCGGCATATGTCCTACAGTATTTGTTCTCTTAAAAGAAAGAAAACCGTTCAACCTTAATTTACGAATCACAGTCCCGAGAGTTGGTAAACTCTGGTTTATATGGCATCCTTCTTTCAGTCTTGTACCGGCATATAAGGTTTGAGAAGCTCGCTCACTTCCTGCTAAATCAACAAAATTCTGTACAAGAAGGCCAAGTCAATTTCCCTCGTTAAGGTTAACCTTACTACTTACTCATTCACTCTTGAATAATGTTGTCTATGAATTCAATATTCCTATCTGATATAACTCCATTGCGTTTCAGTAAGTTAATAGTATCATACCACAGAAGCTGCAAGAATGCTTGAATTTCTAGCTCCCGCATATTCACGAGTACATCTTTCAATTGTCTGCAAGATAGCATCATTGAACATAGAAGTAAGACTAGGCCCAACTCTGCTGATAAAGAAAGTTTACTCGAGTAATCATGCCTACCAGCCGCAAAATCTGATGTGATCTCGAGCTAGTTTCATTCATAGATGTCTCTCCTATCTGCCTTTGAGCTGGTAAATCCGTACCGAAATGCATATATAATGTTATCTAGTGAAAAGAAAACCCAAAGAAATCATATACAAATGCAAGTCCATGAAAATATTTCACCTTCACAGATTGCAAGTAGCTCGTGAAGATGTTCCCTGTTTCTTAGAGTCACCTCAGTAAGTTTCCCCACAACGGTTCCCCTCTGTTGAATGAAAACAATGTCG